TAATCAATCTATAATGTATTTCTTTGTTTTTACAGCAGTTTGCAACGTAAAATCTATTTTCTCTGGTGCTGGTATAGATACTCCAGCTCTCTTTTGGTTATTATTTGCATGGGATAATTTTTCCATTCAGTTTTGAAGTACGGTTTTCGCAGATACAGAATTCTTGCTGAACATTTTTTTTCTTTCCCTCTTTTATATGTGTCATCTCACTGCCTCTGGCCTTCTTGGTTTCTGAGGAGAAATCAGCTGTTAATCTTATTCAGAATCCCTGGTACACGGTGAATTACTTCTCTGTTGTTGATTTCAAGATTCACTTTTTGTCTTTGGTTTCAGCTATTTTATTCCAATGTGTGTCAGTGTGAGTCTTTATGTTTATCCACCATTGAGTTCACTGAGCTTCTTGGATGTGTAGATTCATGTACTTTATCAAATTTAGGAATTTTCAGCAATTATTTCTTCAAAAAGTCTTTCTAATTTTTTTCTTTCTTTCTTTTTTTTTTTTTTTTTTTTTTTGAGATGGAGTTTCGCTCTTGTTGCCCAGGCTGGAGTGCAGTGGTGCCATCTTGGCTCACCACAACCTCCACCTCCTAAGTTCAAGCGATTCTCATGTCTCAGCCTCCCAAGTAGCTGGGATTACAGGCATGCGCCACCAGGCCCGGCTAATTTTTTTTCTATATTTAGTAGAGATGGAGTTCCTCCATGTTGGTGAGCCTGGTCTCAAACTTCTGACCTCGGGTGATCTGCCCCCCTTCACCTCCCAAAGTGCTGGGATTACAGGTGTGAGCCACCGCATCTGGCCTTTCTCTCTTTCTTTTGAGATTCCATTATGGGTGTGTTGGTGTGCTTGATGGTGCCCTAGGTTCTATTAATTTTCTTCATGCTTCTTTCCTTCATATTGGAAAATGTCAATTGGCCATCCACAGAAAAAAAGAATCCACTGATTCTTTTTTCTGCCTACTGAGACATGTTGTAACATTGAATTTTAGTTACTGTACTTTTCAACTCCAGAACTTTTACCTGTTTTTTTAATACTTTCTCTTTATTGGTATTCCATCTGATGAGACATCATTCTTTTGGTTCCTTTAGTGGTTTTTGTTTCACTTAGCTCTTTAAGCATATTTAAAACAGTTGATTAGAGTCTTTGTCTAGTAAGACCCTGTGCTTTCTCAGGGACGGTTTTTGTTCATTTCTTTTCTTTCTGTGAGTGGGCCATACTTTTTTTTTTTTTTTGAGACGGAGTCTTGCTGTGTCGCCCAGGCTAGAGTGGAGTAGCGCAATCTCAGCTTAGTGCAAGCGTCGCCTCCTGGGTTCACACCATTCTCCTGCCTCAGCCTCCCAAGTAACTGGGACTACAGGCGCCCGCCACCACGCCCGGCTAATTTTTTATATTTTTAGTAGAGATGGGGTTTCACCATGTTAGCCAGGATGGTCTCAATCTCCTGACCTCGTGACCCACCTGCCTCAGCCTCCCAAAGTGCTGGGATTACAGGTGTGAGCCACTGCACCTGGCCACTTTCTTGTTTCTTTGTATCATAATTTTTTGTTGAAAACTGGGCATCTTGAATATTATAATGTGGCAACACAGTGGCTGCATATATGTTGCTGACAGTATTTCATGGCCTGGATGTACAGCAACTTGTTTAATCATTCACCTGTTGGAGGACATCTAGATGGTTTCCAGGTTTAGGCTATTATAAATAATATGTTTAATAACATATGTTTTCTTTTGTCTAGGGTAAATACCCAAAAGTACAATTGTTGGGTCATATGATAGTTGTCTGTTTAGTTTTATAAGAATCTGCCACATTATTTTCCAGAGGGCTATACCATTTTACCTTCCCACCAGTAATGTTTGCATGATCCAGTTTCCCAGCATTCTTATCAGCATTTTTTTTTTTTTTGCTATTTTTAAATTTTTACCATAATAGCAATCGCGGTGTAGTGATAACTCATTTTGGAAATGGTTGGGTTCTAAGGGGCAATAATGTAGAAAATATTTTCATGTGCATATTTGCCATTGGTGCAACAGTTTAGGTGAACTGCCTTTTCTATTCTTGTATCCATTTTCTAACTGGATAGCCTTTTCCTTTTCTCTGCCCAAACAATTGAGAGGTAAGGCATTTTTTTAATGTTGATCTTTGAGAGACAGAATGTATATGTGTCTGTGTATTATATATATTCATATTCCAGATATTAGTCCTTTGTTGAGTATGCGGTTTACTAACATTATCACCCAGTCTGTAGCTTGTTTTTTCATATTCTTACCAGGGTCTTCACAGAACAAATTTTTAAATGTTGTTGAAGTCTAGTTAATCAATTTTTTCCATTTATGGATGTGCTTTTGGCGTCATGTCTAAAAACTCTTCAGTGACCCCTAAGTCTCAACGATTTTCTTGTTTTTTCTAAAGTTTTATCATTGTACTTTTCACATTTAAGTTTGTGAATAATTTCCAGTTACATTTTTTTGACTTTTTTTAGGTTCAGGGGTACATGTGAAGGTTTGTTATAAGGGCAAATTGCGTGTTATAAGGGTTTGGTGTATAGATTATTTTGTCACCCAGGTAATAAGTATAATACTGGATGGGTAGGTTTTCAGTCCTCACCCTCCTCCTGCCCTCCACCCTCAGGGAGGCCCCAGAATCTGTTGTTGTCTTCTTTGTGTCCATATGTACTCAATCTTTAGCTCCCACTTATGACAACATGTGGTGTTTGGTTGTCTGTTCCTGTGTCAGTTTCCCTAGCTTAAAGGCCTCCCGTGGCAACCATGTTGCTGCAAAAGGGAATGATCTCATTCTTTCTTATGGTTGCATAAGTTGTGGGATTTAGGTGAAGTTTCTTTTCTTTTCTTTTCTTTTTTTTTTTTTTTCTGCCTGTGGATACTGTTGGACCACTTGTTGAAAAGAGTTATTATTCCTCATTGAATTACTTTTGCACCTTTGCCAAAAATCAGTTGGATATACTTATGCCTGTTTCTAGGCTCTCTGTTTGGTACTGTTGACACATGTGTCTATGCTTCCACCAGTGCCACACTGTCTTGATCTTCATAGCTATGTACTGAGCATTCATGTTGATTAGATGGAGTCCTTCCACTGTATTTCTTTTTTTTAACATTGTTTTACCCATTCCATGGCTACCTCCTTCCAAAAGTAAATATTAAAATAAATTTGTCTTGTCTATAAATGCTTTGCTGAGAATCTTGATGAGACTGCAGAAAACTTATAAATTAATTTATGGAAAACTGTCATCTTTATTATGTTTTGTCTCCCAACACAAGAATACAGGTATATCTTTTCATTTATTTAGGTTTTCTTTATCTTCTTTTGTCAGAATTTTGTAATTTTCTGCATGCAGATCCTATGCATTTTTTAAATGTGTACTTTTGTATTTAATTTTCCTAGGAACTACTACAAATACTGTGTTTTAAATTTCGTTTTCCACAAGTTGATTTTTAGTATATGTGTTGATACTGTATCCTGTGACTCTGCTGAATTCATTTGTTAGTTCAAAGGTAGTTGTTTTTTATAAATTATTTGAAACTATCTATGTAAGCAACCATATCACCTGAAAATGGGAGGGGGAGTTATTTCTTCTTTTCTAGTGTGTATTCTTTTGATTTCTTTTCTTCCAGCCTCTGCCTGCTGCCCAATTCTAAAGTCACTTCCAAATTTGTAGGTGTTTGTTATAGCTGTATCCCACTTCCAGGTACTAAGGTTTGTGTAGTGATTATACAACAATACAGGTGCTACAGTGATATCAACAAAATACTGTTAACAGAGAGGAGGAGGTGGGTAATTCTGTGTAGATGGAACATTAGGAAAGACTTTGCATAAAATGAGACACTTTCCTAAGAATGGATAACGTTTCAGCAGGGAAACGTAGTTCAAATAGAGGGGATAGCAACATCACTGCAACCTCTGCCTCCCCGGTTCACACCATTCTCCTGCCTCAGCCTCCCGAGCGACTGGGACCACAGGCACCTGCCACCACGCCTGGCTAATTTTTTGTATTTTTAGTAGAGACAGGAGTTCACCGTGTTAGCCAGGATGGTCTCAATCTCCTGACCTTGTATGGTAGTATGAAAATTCATAGAGTATCAGGGAAGTAGCGAGCAGGTGCCTGGTGGTAGAGAAATGGATGGCAAGAGTTGTTACAGTAGTCGGAAAACAATATTTGAAGAACTCTGGGCTCCCTGCCAATAGACCTTGACTTTATAAGCAGCAGGCAGCCTTTTTAACATAAAATGGCATGATAAATTTTTAACATGGTTTTTAACATAAAAATGGCATGATAAATTTTTAACATGGTTTTTAACATAAAAATGGCATGACAAATTCTCTGTAGAACAAGAAGGAAAGACTTAGAGAATGTTTAAGTAACACCTATGAGAAGTGACCTGAGAAAACATTTTGTCAAAAGGCATTCAGTTGGCCCTTAAACCATGCAGGAGTTAGGGGTACCAACCACCCACACAGTTGAAAATCCATTTATAATTTTTTTTTTTTTTTTTTTTTTTTGAGATGGAGTCTTGCTCTGTTCCCCAGGCTGGAGTGCAGTGGCATGATCTCAGCTCACTGCAACCCCCACCTCCTGGGTTCAAGCAATTCTCCTGCCTCAGCCTCCCTAGTAGCTGGGATTACAGGTGCACGCCACCACGCCTGGCTAATTTTTGTATTCTTAGTAGAGACAGGATTTCACCATGTTCACCAGGCTGGTCTCAAACTCCTGAGCTCAGGTGATCCGCCTGCCTCGGCCTCCCAAAGTTCTGGGATTATAGGTGTGAGCCACCGTGCTCAGCGTCATGTATAATGTTTGTCTCCTGAAAAACTTAACTATTAATAGCCTACTGTTGACCAGAAGCCTTGTTAATAACATAAACAGTCTAACACTTATTTTGTATGTTGTAAGATATTATAAGTAGTATATATAGTATTGTTGCAATAAAGTAAGCTAGAGAAAGAGAACATGTTAAGAAAATCAGAGGGAAGAGAAAATATATTTACTATTTGTTCACTGGAAGTGGATTGTGATAAAGGTCTTCATCCTCATCATCTTCACATTCCATAGGCTAAGGAGGAGGAAGGAGAGGAGCAATTGGTCTTGTTGTCTCAGAAGTGGCAGAGGTGGAAGAAAATCCATGTATAAGTAAACCCATGCAGTTCAAACCCACGTGGTGTAAGAGTCAACTCTAGTCACAAGCTTAAGTGGCTATTAAAAAAAATAAAATGTGATGTGACCTGCATGAATACATGTGCAGGGTCCAGTTTCCCTTTAACCAGGATTAAAGTAGATTCTGAGAGAATTCCAAGCCTAAGATTCTTTGATTGTAAAAGGTTTGGAGGCCTAGAGATAATTTCTGATAGTTTAATAGAAAATAGAGATTATATACTAGTTGAGCATATTTGACTAGTTGAGTCAAATATGGTTTGGTAGTTTCTCTTTTTTTTTTTTTTTTTTCAGACAGTGTTGCTCTGTCGCCCAGGCTGGAGTGCAGTGGCGTGATACTGGCTGACTGCAAGCTCTGCTTCCCAGGTTCACACCATTCTCCTGCATCAGCCTCCCGAGTAGCTGGGACTACAGGAGCCCACCACCAAGCCCAGTTAATTTTTTGTATTTTTAGTAGAGACAGGTTTCACCGTGTTAGCCAGGATGGTCTCGATCTCCTGACCTCGTGATCCACCCGCCTCGGCTTCCCAAAGTGGTGGGATTACAGGCGTGAGCCCCTGTGCCCAGCCGGTTTGGTAGTTTCTACTAGTTTCAACTACTCAGATATACATAAGCCACATTTTTGTGTAAACACAAAAAGATAAACTCCAGGTATAATTCTGAAAAAAGTATGAAAAGAAGCAAGTAATAATGTGGTGTAACATGCAAGGGTTAGAACAGCAGGAATAATAGCACATATATTGAGTGAATAAGAGCACTAGGTCACTGTTCTCAAAGCAGTCACTGGACTACAGTGGACTTTTAATTTTGGAAGTGTGTTAATTTCTAAATAGACTAGGATTTCCTTTTTAAGAAAATTAATAGAATTACCTTTCTATTACTGATTTATAGTTTAATTCCATTGTGATCGGAGAAACATACTTTGTATGATTTCATACTTTCAAACTTTTTTTTATTATTTCATTATTATGATTATCACCAAGGATATAGCCTCTCTTGGTGAATGTTCCATGTGCACTTGAAAATAATGGGTATTGTGCTATTGTTGGATGGATAGTCTACAAATGTCAGTTACTTCCAGTTGGTTGATGGTGTTGCCCACTTTGTCTGTTATCTTGTTTTTGTCTATTTGTTCTATTGATTACTGTGATAAAAGTGTTGAAGTTTCCAATCAGCAATAGATCATTGTGAGTTTTCCATTTCTCCTTTAAATTAAATTAAATTTTTGCTTCATATATTTTGAATGTCTGTGGTTAGATGCAGGGACATCTAGGATTATATGTCTTCTTGGTGGATTCACTCTTATTATGTTATGTTCTTCTGTGTCCCTGGTAACTTTCCTTGCTCTGAAATTGATTTTGTCTGATATTACTAGAGCCATTCACATTTTCTTTTTGATTAGTATTTGTTTGTCATGGTTTTTCACCCTTTTACTTTTTACCTGCTTTTATCATTATTTTGAAAGTCGGTTTCTTGTAGATAGCATACTGTTAGTTGTTGTTTTTCCCTTAATTATTTTAATATTTGTTTTTCTGATTATGTGCTTTGAGTATTCAAACTTAATAAACGTACTGATGTGTTTGGATTTGGGTTTACCATATTATCATTCATTTTCCGTTCTCTGATTTTCATTGCTCTGTGTCCTTTTGGATTATTTAGGTATTTTTTCGTTTTCCATTTCAACTTATTGAGCTTTTAACTATATTTCTTTGTATAGTTTTTTTTTAGTAATTCTAGGAATTAATATACATCCATAACATTTCCATCTAGTTAGAATTAGTATTTTCCCACTTCTAGTGGAAGGAACGTAGACATCTTCCATCCCATAGGTTCCTTTAACCTCCTCCTTTATGTTGTTGTTATCATGTATATTATATCTGCATACATTGAAAACCTCATTAGATAATTAGATAATACTATAACTTTGTGTTTAACTGTCAAATATTTTTTAAAACTTAAGAGGAGAAAAATAGTGTGTTATATTTACCCAGCTTCTTACTATTTCTGTTGCTCTTCCTTCATTTCTGAAGTTCGAAGTTTCCCTCTGGTATCATTTTCCTTTTGTATAAAGATCTTCCTTTAACATTTCTTTAGAACAGGTATACTGGCTATGACTTCTCTTGGTTTTTCTCCATGTGATAATGTTCTCACTTTATCTTCAGTCCTGAATATACTTTTGCTGGATATAGATTTTTGGGTTGACAGTGATTTAGCACTTTACAAATATTTTTCCACTTCTTTCTGGCCTCCTTGAAAAATCTGCATGCGAATGAATATTCCCCTATGCATGATCTGTTGTGGTTTCTAGCTGCTTTAAGGTTTGTTCATTGTCTCTAATTTTCAGCAGTTGATGATGTCTCTGGGCATTGATTTCCTTGGATTTTTTAGCTTGCAGTTTGCTGAGCTCTTGGGTCTGTAAGTTAATGTTTTGAATCATATTTGGGATGCTTTCAGAAATTATTCTTGATATTGTTCGGCGCTCCACTCTCTCCTCCTTCTGGAACTCTGATGACAGAGTGTTAGACCTTTGTTGTTGTCACACAGGTCCCTGAAGTTCTATTGGGGATTTTTTTCCCCCAACCTTTTCTCTCTGTTCTTCAACTGGATAATTTCTGTTGAGCTATTTACATGCTTACTGATTCTTTCCTTTTTCATCTCATTTTATAATTGCACTCTGCCCCTGGATTTTATTTTAGTTATTCTATTTTTCAGTACTAACATCTCCATTTTATTCTTTTATCTATTTATCTGCTATTATTTTTCATTCATGTCAAAAGTGTTCACTCTTACTTCTTAGAGCATGGTGATGTAAGAGCTGCTTTAAAGTCTTTTTCTGATAATTCCAACAACTGTGTCATGTTGGTGTTGCCATTGTTGACTATCTTTTCCCTTAAAAGTTATTGAGATTTCATAGTTCTTTGTATGTCAGGTAATTTTGGATTGTATCCTGGGCATCTTAAATACTATGTTATGAGACTCTGGGCCTTGTTTAGTTCCTATGGAGAATAATGATTATTAAATTTGTTAAGCAGTTGACCCAGTTAAGTTCCGCCTGCAAGTTCTTACTGGTCTTCAGGGGTGGTTTCTTATGTCAGTTCAGGTTTTAAGATGTTTTCAGTGCCATTTGGATAATGTGGATCACCCAGTGGCCCCTGTGGGGCCTGGAACGTGTTCTACCCCATGGTTCAGTTCTCAAAGACTCGTATATGCTGTTCGGGGTCAGATCCATTCATACAGCTTGGGGTTAAGTCTTGGAGGTCATCCACAACATTATGGGATCTTCTTCTTGAGACCCTTCCTCTTGGCATTCTCCCAGGCACCTCCTGGTGTCTAGGAACCCTCCATTCCTAGTTTCCTTGATGGAAAGCTGGGGCTTTCATTTTCCCTCTCTGCCATATGAAACCAAGCGGCAACGGTGTCTGCCTCGAAACCAAGTGGCAGGGAGACAGAGATAGAAAAAAGAAACAGGGATTCTCTCCCATGCGTTGGTACCACAGTTCCTCTGGCCAGAGAGGATTCCTGTCCCTCAGAAATTTAGATGTCTGCATGACCACCACTGCCATTACCATAATGAGACTGCCTAGGGGAATAGGGTGGGAGAAATCATCACTAAAATACACATCCCTCAGCCCTCATGCCCTTAAGGACCCTTTTCCCTCTCTTCAGATCTGAGAGGGCTTCTTTTGGAGTCCTTTATGTCCAGTTTCAAGCTGGTATTGAGTTCAGACCAGGGCACACCACAGGAACAACAAAACAAGAAACTCACCACAGGATCAGTGTTACTTTGACTTCTGGTTTCCTTCCCGTCTACCTGCTGCTGTTTGCCTCTAGAGTCCTCAGACTATAAACTCTCTGGAGCCAGGGTTTTTAGTTGTGTTCAAATGGATGGGGTGAAGCGTGCTACTCCATCTTTATCACTGTTTGTATATTGATGTTTCTGGAAATCACTAAAAGAATTTTCTAAGCACTGTTTGCTTAATAGTATGAGGAATACAAAAGCAAAAAGTAAAGGAACAAGCATTTATTTGAATACATACCACAATTTTTAAGTTAATACAAGAACTTCATAAGGTAGAAAAAAAATCAAGAGGGGCCAGGTTTATCTCTGGACAATGAGATGATACAGAAAAGGCTCACATCCCTGGTCGTCCCAAAACCACAGCCAACAGTGGGTCCTTACTGTCTGAAGGGCAGTGTCTGTTTCATAATTAGGAGATGTCACGGATTTCGTGAGTTATATTTTAATGAAGCATTCCAAAAAGACTATGCCTTAAACTAACAGTTGTGCTTTTGGGGAAATATCAGGCTGTGTGACTGACCAGCTCAGGGAGAGTTGGGAGTCTGAAGACCTTCTCCACAATCCTGACTTCACCCATGGAATGACAGCCTATCCCTGTGGCCAGATAGGTTGCCCACTGCAGACTCCAGGTGAAGTTTTTCTTGTGAGTTTTGATGTGAAAGTACCTCCTGGAGCTGTGCATATTTTGGTTGTGTGCTCCGTTCCCAAGGAAAAGTCCTCAGCAATTAGAAAAACTGCAGGGTAGCAATGACAGCTGTCATTTCTTTTCTTCATTTGCCCTCTGCCTCTTTCCTCCTCTTCCAGTGCTGGAGAAAGACGATCATTACCTCTCCAGAGTCTTTGAATCTCCGTAGAAGAAGCCGTCCACTCTCCCAGAGTGCTCCAACGGGACTGAACCACATGGGCTGGCCAGAGCACATACCTGGCACTGGTGAGTTATGCGCCTCTCTCTTTTGCTATGTACTCTGGATCTTGGCATGAAGGACAAGAAGTGAGTGCTGTTGGCAGCTATATCCACTTGCCTGGCAGAAGTAGCTTGATGGTGAGGGAGATAAACAATTGTCCCCTTCCTTCAGTTAGGGAGGAGTGCCTACTATCCAAAGAAAGGGAATTTTTGGCCAGGAACAGCGGCTCATGCCTGTGATCCCAGCACTTTGGGAGGCTGAAGCAGGTGGATCACTTGAGGTCAGGAGCTCAAGACCAGCCTGGGCAACATGGTGAAACCCCGTCTCTACTAAAAATACAGGCCAGGTGTGGTGGCTCACACCTATAATCCCAGCACTTTGGGAGGCCAAGGGAGGTGGACCATCTGAGGTCGGGAGTTTGAGACCAGCCTGACCATCATGGAGAAACCCCATCTCTGCTAAAAATACAAAATTAGCCGGGCGTGGTGGTGCATGCCTGTAATCTCAGCTACTTGGGAGGCTGAGGCAAGAGAATCGCTTGAACCTCGCTAAAGGTTGCAGTGAGCCGAGATCACACCATTGCACTCCAGCCAGGGCAACAAGAGCGAAACTCTGTCTCAAAAACAAAACAAAACAAAAAAATTAGCTCAGTGTGGTGGTGCATGCCTGTAATCTCAGCTACTCTGAGGGATGAGGCAGGAGAATCGCTCGAATCTGAGAGGCAGAGGTTGTAGTGAGCTGAGATCATGCCACTGCACTCCAGCCTGGGCGACAGTGATACTCCACCTCAAAAAAATGAAAAAGGAATTCCTAGAGTCCCCCAGCTTGGCTCCATCAGTTAATTCTGAGGAGGACTACGGACTGTCCCTTCGTCTCCTAGTAGGATATATAACTTCAAGGAGACAGAATCATGTAGAGAGCTGTCTCCAATCAGCTGATGGAACTTGGGTGCTTCCCCTTCTGATGAATAATGGCCTCTTCCTTGAGTTTTATGGCAGCCTCTATGAGTCCGTTTCTCCGAACTGTAGCAAATAGCTTCAAATCACATATCTGTCCACAAAAGGCCTGGCTTTCTGTGTTAGAAGGGAACTGGGCCACAGGTGAGAGCCAGGATGGGGCCTCTTTATGTGTGACAGCTACCTTGGTCACACCCAACCCAGCGGGGCTGGACATGCTGAGTGCGGCTCAAGGCACATCTGTCTTCCAGTGGAAGGACAGATGTGGGGTCTCAAGTCTTGAGCGGGTGCAGATTGTGTTCGGTGGTGACTTTACAGTCTAAAAGCTCATGGCTGCTGGAGGGAGGGGCCAAATCTGGTGTTGAAGAAAGTGAAACACGGGCAAAGCCTTAAGAGAGTTAGAAAAACAAAACAGCCACACCTGTCAAACGCGTGCTTTGTCCAGGCTTGGGAGGAGCGGGCTGGCAGTGGAGGCTGTTGGTAGTCAGGTCCTGTCAGTGCCGAAGACCCATAGAAAGGCAGTGCGGTGAGGCAGAGGATGACGGTGCGTGGCGCCCATAGAAAGGCAGTGCGGTGAGGCAGAGGATGACGGTGCGTGGCGGTCGGCCCCGAATGCTGGAGTTTGGCATGTGTCTTTCTAAGGAATCAGCTCTGATGCAGACTCTGAGTTGAGCTCTGAGTCTGACTCAGCACATTGGAGGTGCTGGTCCCGAGGGAGCTGGCTGCTCAGATTAGCTGGTGGATGTGGTGGCTGCCTGTCAGCAGATGGATGTATTTAGGCTGCACCGTGAAGTGGAGCTTTATTCTTCCCCACATACAGTCATGATCTTAAACTCACAAGCAAAGTTATGAAAAGGTGTTTGACAACTGTTGAACAAACTCTCCCAATTTCTTGCATGAGCCCTTCATTAAGTCATAGAGTTATTTAGAATCTTGTGAAAGGGACAGTAACCAGGGAGAGGAATCTTTTTTCCAGAGAGAATCCTCAAAGCTGATTTTGGCCTTTCAAGTCAATACCTCCTTGCAATTCAGAGCTTCATAATCATGTTGTCCTATTATTTCAGTGTCACTTGAAATAATTGGCAGATGAGCTCATTGCAGAAGAAATTTTAAAACCTTCATGCTACCAGTGACATCCAGCACGTCTGCACACCAAGGGCACCGCTCTGGAGGTCAGAAGTCAGGGCTCTAGCCACACTTCCTCCTAGGGTGAGAAATTGAGCACATCCCTCGATTTCCCTCTATCTCAGGTTCCTTTTTTCTTTCTTTTTTTCTCAGAAATTCTGCAAGAAAGTAATCAGATTCCTTTTTCTTCAAAAAAGGAGTGATAGCTCCTGTTTTCCTGTGTCGTAAGGATAATGGGAGGGACTAGCCTGGAGTTGAGCTTAGGAAAGCTTTCTTTTCTTAATTACTGCTTCCACTTGCAACTGATCTGTGCCTGACTTCGTCGGATTTCTCCTTTACAGAGATGATATTTCTAGTTTCTATCCCTGGAACTTCTCATCATTCTCATTTTTTTGATCCATTTTCTACCCAGTTCTGTGAGAATTTCTCAATTTCATCTTCTGCTTTGTTTTCCTGGTTTTTTTTTTCTCACCTGTGTTCATTGCCTTCACTAGCAGTTTGTGATCCAGTGATCATGTTTTTAATCTGCAACAATCCTTCCAATGTCCTTTGAAACCACGAAGAACAGAAAATCAGGATTTTTGTGAAGTGTTCTTGTTATTTCCAAATTTCAGTTCATTTTCAAATTCATCTGCTCTTTTTTTGAGGTTTGTTTGTTTTTTGGTGGGGTCTTACTCTGTCACCCAGGCTGGAGTGCAGTGGCACGATCGATCTTGGCTCACTGCAACCTCCGCTTCCCGGGTTCAAGCAATTCCTGCCTCAGCCCCCAAGTAGCTGGGATTACAGGTGCCCACCACCATGCCCAGATAACTGTATTTTTAGTAGAGATGGAGTTTTGCCATGTTGGCCAGGCTGGTCTCAAACTCCTGACCTCAGGTGATCTGCCCGCCTCAGTTTCCCAAAGTGCTGGAATTACAGGTGTGAGCCACCGTGCCTGGTCTCTTTTGAGGTTTTTTATTAAGAGGTGAAATTTCTTTATTTGCTCATCTGTGTGGACAGCAGTCCTGCCCCAGCAGTGATGTGTTGTTAAATAGCACTGGAAGTGACGTTCTTTCAGAGATTATTATCGGTTCCCGTTAACGTCCTTCAAACACAGCGGAAGTAGGATGAGGAAGGCAAGGCTTTCTTGTGATGAATGCTGTGAGTCAGCACCTAAAGGCTTGTGGGGAGCTGTCCGCTGTCCTGGTAGGGAGCTCCTCCCCCTCACTAGAATTTCTTCTCCACGTTTGGAAGGGTGGCTAAGAATCAGCCTGATGTGGGAGCAGGCCACCTCTCCCTGGCAAGTCGGTGCCCAAGATAAATCCCCACCACACCCGCACCTCTCTCAGTGGAGCCGGCAGGGCCAGGTGCAACTCTGAGAGTCCCCGGTGCCTCCAGAATCCGTGCCTGTGGCTTTGGAAGGGTGGGCTGGGTTTTACCAGGAATACCTGGTGGTGTGGTTATTTCACAAGCTGTCGGTCACCTCTTTCTTCAAACCACTTTGTTGTATCTTGTGGCTAACACCCTTCATCAGTCTCTAGTACTAGTAAAGGATGCTTTCTATTTTTTAAACAGCTTTGTTGAGCTATAGCCACATACAGTTCGGCGGCAGGATATTCACAGATATGTGCGGTCATCACCACAGTCCATTTTAGAACATTGTTAGCATCTTATAATAAGCTCTGTACCTTTAGCTATTACCCCACACCACCACCCTAAGGAACCACTTATCTACTTCCTGTCCCTATAAATTCCCTGCCCTGGATTTGTGTATGGATGGAATCATGTAGGAACTGGTCTTGTGACTGGCTTCTTTCACTTATAATAATGTTTTCAGGGTTCATCCACATGTCACATGTACTTCAGTACTTCATTTCTTTCTATGGTCAAATAATCCATTGTATGGATACACCACAGTTTGCTTATTTATTCTTCCGTTGATGAGCAATTGGATTACTTCTACTACCTTGCACTTCTGTGCTGTGGAGATGGCTTCTTTCCTTAAATCTCAGGAACCAACCTCTGCTAGGTTTAGACTTTTCTTTTATGGCGTCCTCACTTCTCAGCCTTCATACAATTGAAAACAGTTAGGGCCTTGCTCTGGATTAGGCCTTGGCTTAAAGGAGTGTTGTGGCTCCTTTTTGATCTTCTATCTAGACCACGAAAACTTTCTTCCTATTGCAAAAAGGCTGTTTCACTTTCTCATTCATGTGCTAACTGGAGCAGCACTTTTAATTTCCTACAAGAACTTCTCCTTCACTTTCAGGACTTGGGCAACTGTTTGGCTTGAGAGGCCTAGCTTCTGGGCCATCTTGGCTTTGACATGCCTTCCTTACTAAGCTGAATCATTTCTAGCTTTTGATTTAGAGATATGTGACTCTTCTTTTCACTTGAAAACTTAAAGGCCATTACTGGGTTATTAATTGGCCTAATTTCCATATTGTGTCTCATGAATAGGGAAGCCCAAGGAGAGGGAGAGAGACAGAGGAATGGATGGTTGGTGGAGCAGTCAGAACACATAACATTTATTGATTAAATTTGCCATCTTCTATAGGCACAAGTTCATGGCATGTCTTCACTTCTTGTTTTCTCTGTCTCATCTTTTGATTGCTCTATTCCTTCTTTACTGTTTTCTGTTTCACTGAGTGAATATTGTCTAATGTAGTATTTTAATTTTATTAATTATTCTTTTGCTATATTTTTAAGGTTTGTTTTTAGTGGTAGCTTTAGCATTTCATGTATATATATAACTTACCAGCATCAACTTCAGATTTATGCTAACTTAATTCCAGTAATATATAGAACTATTACACCTTTATAGCTCTATTCCCTTCCCCCTTTTTGTGTGGTATGATTGTTATGCATATTATACCTATCAATGTCATAAAGCCAGAAGCGCATTAGTAAAATGATTACCATATGTCACCATTTTCTTAGCCTATTACAGCTTTTCTCTCATCTATCTC